GGGGGGCAGTGTTACTGACTGAAGTGTCTTTAGGCCATTCTCAAAGGGGGGATATCAACATGTTCTTATGCACAGTAGAATTGTAAATGGGCTGTTTTACCAATCTCATGCTCATACTGTGCCGGAACAAATGCTAAATATTACAAGTCATTCCATTGTTGACTATACTATTATTTACTTTAATGAACACTGATAACAGTTTAAAATGTTGTCTCGTTAAAAAAAAAAGTACGGAACGGTTGGGGTAAGGCGCGTCGGGGAAGCATGTAGCCGGTTTTCGATGACACGTCGTGTCAACGCGTGTCGAGACGGTCTGCTGAAACCGAAGCGGCAATGTACATGGCTGGTTTGGCGATGCCATTTTTTTATCAGCTGCAGGTGTCTCTTTTGTTAAGTCTCAATTAAAAAATATTTCTATGGTTGTTGTTTTTTTTTTCAAACCTAATATTTTTTGGGGACACGTATTAGGCTGTTTCCTATTCATCAGCTAATTTTTTTATAAAAATGAAATTTTTGTTTGTAGCCGGTTTTTTAACCCATCGACGATATGGTGAACAGTTGATATTTTTATCCTCACCCTTGTTATCGTCATTTACCATCAACTTCTTTTGTATCTTTGTCACTCTCTTGTGAACTGCTATTTCTTGGGTGCTTTGATTGTCTAAGCAGACTTTGTGCTGTTGAGGCTAGAGAGGTGAGCAGAGTAAGTCCGATTCCCCTTTTGGACTTCTCTGTTGACGTCCACCCCTTGGCGCTCATATGACGTCCACCCCTTGGCGCTCATATGATCATATGACCGTATGCAGTTGCTCTCGCCGTAAAACCTTACTTTTTAACGTTGTCCGTTGTTTTAGGAAGAAATCAACATCTTTACGTTCCGGACATTTCCATTGATGCTCTGTTGCTCTCTCCAAAATTTAATTTCGGCTCCAGGCGTATAGACTCTGTAAAGACATCTCTTAACCCTTCCTTACCAGTCCGACAGTTTTCTTCCCTAACAAAAAAAGCCTTACTAAAACAAACTAGATCCAGATTTCATTATTAAAGCAATATATAAATCAAACGTTCAATTTCTGTGGCCCTCTGTTTTCCCCAGAGCCCCCAGTCGCAATCCTCGGTGCTCCACAACACTCTGTCACCCGCGGAGAGCAACGTGAAGCGAGTCCACTACATGGACAAAGCCCTGGACATAGACCGCTTGACCACCACCTGCCCCCCGCCCCGCAGTCAGCCTATGTCAACTTCCGCCTACCACTCGGGGCGCGGCAGTCACTGGAACACCAACAGGGCGGTGAGTTGATACGATGGACTGTATGCACTGACTCTTTTTTGTTTTCATATCTTACTTCGTATACTTTTCTTTCTTTCTTTCTTTCTTTCTTTCTTTCTTTCTTTCTTTCTTTCTTTCTTTTTTCTGTCTTTATGTTTTTCTGTTATTATGTTTTTCTGTCTTTCTTTCTGTATTTCTGTATTTCTTTCTGTCTTTCTTTCTTTGTGTCTTTCTTTGTTTCTTTCTTTCTTTCTTTCTTTCTTTTTCTTTCTTTCTTTTTTTTTTTATCTGTTGCCCGTCCACTGCAGATTGTAGCCCTCTAACAACGACCCCCACTCTACTGTTGTCCGTGTTCAGGTCATATCAATCTGGTCTCTGACGTCATCCTGCCATATTTTATTTGGTCTTCCTCTTTATACTTATAATAATACTACACACACTAGGTCTTTTATCTTACTTTCATATCAGTGGGTCGTTGGTGGGTGTCCCTGGAACACCCAGCAGAGCGATGAATTAGAACCCAACTCTGTTATCATACTATATTATTATGCACAGTGTCTTCTATCAAACTCTCACACCAGCTGTAGATGGTTGGATGTTGCCAGTGGTAGACCCTACTACTTTACTACTTTTCTTCGTTCCCTCTATTGTTTCTTTTTGTTTGTGTGGGTGGTTGGAAGGTGCTACAGGTAGGTCTTACATCTTGTGGTTCCCTCTTGTCTCCTGTTTCTGGATGTGTGTCTCGCTTGAATTGATTCTCTCCAGAACTAATTTAAATACTCCAAGTTATTGTACAGATTTATACGATTCTCTTCCCTCTTGTTCATCACTTGAATCAAAGATCATTTATAACAAGATTGTTCACTCCTCTCTTTGAGCCTATTAAAAAAAGTGTCCTCAAATTTCGGTGGCGCCCTCTTGGAGAAAATGCGGACTTTGCGATAAGACTTACCCCCTATTTGTGGGGAAAAAACCCAATAAAAGCGAAACTAACTAGATCTAACTGTGCTATTCTTCTTCCGAAGAAGAAGAAACGAAAGAGAGTTTCAAAACAAAGACTGCAGCGACATCTGAACCAATGCGCGGACTTCCGCGGACACTTTTTTGGCTGAGTTAACTATCTTGTTATATACGATCTTTATTTGAATCTAACTGTTCTCTTAGATGTGAGTAATTCACTGCTGTGACGTCAAGCTTTGATAACGCACCACTATTGAACTCTCTGCAATGTAAGGGGAAAATTGTAGACCCTAATTATAGCTGACAATTACTGCTGGTGGCGAAAAGTGTCTGAGTTGATGAATTCACGTCCCACATTTTGTAAGAGAAGAATTGAAAAGAAAAATGAGGAGTGGTCTCCCAATCTTCGTTTCGATAATTTCTTGTCTGGTCTGTGAAAAGCTTTTTTTTTTTTTTTTTCCCCTTTCACCTGATGGAACTTAACAAAAAGAGGACGACAAAAATAGATTGCAAGTAATGCATCCCAACCACTTGATTGTTCCAGAAATAAGGGGAAAAACCCGAAAATATTTTAACATCTAAAGTGCTGGAATATAACGTTTAAGCATTTTTTTTCTATGAATGTTGTTTATATATAATATCTGCGGAAAATGTGCGTCCTTTTAGGATAGTGAGAGCCCCGATTCTATCTCCGGGGTGTCTCGTTCAGTAGACAACCCTGTACCAAATCGATAAATCTTGGCCACATTCAGTGTTCACACTCCATCCCTTTTTCTGTTCTTCCCGGTCATGTTTGCTGCATTGCTTACGCACGGTTCGCACTGTCTTGAAAATGTTTGATCCTTACATTTTAGAGGATAATCGCGACGGTTACAATAAAATTATAATAATCTATGAAATCGTGAGTTTTTATCCCCGACAACTAAACTTTTCACACAATTATCTTTTGTCAGGCGGACGCTGTAATGAAAAATTTCCAAGAGAGTGTGTGGGTTTTTTTTTCACAGCTATACTTTTCACCCAATTATCGTTTCCCAGACGACGTAAGGAGAGATTTCCCAGACAGTGTGGACTGGACTGTAATAACAACATGAGCACTGGCTGTGTCGAACTTCGTTGTTTCTTTCCGCACCCGCTTTTGCTCTCGTTTTTGTGACCTTTTTTTTACATGTAATTTTCCCATCTTGTTGATCTCCTCTCGCCCACCCCCTA